ACTACTTATGTTGAAATCCCTTTTTTTTGGTCATTATTTACCAAAAAAAACCTGTTTAAAAGAAAAAAATACTGCACTGTTTTACAGCTACGGTTACAGCACCAAAATTCAGTGAACTTAAGCACAGCCGATTCTTTCACACATGTCGGTAAAGGCAGACTGCGCGGTGAGGTGCCCACTGCCAATTTAAATGAAGCATGTTCACTGTGTGTGCAATCTTTTCAGCAGCCTTAAAAATGTAATTGTGTTTGGAAGAAGTGGAAAATTTTAGCAGGCAAGAACTGCATTTGGATAAGTCCCCGTGTCCTCTCGGCGACGGTGGTGCTGACTGTTTCTGTGTGGCCGTCTCTGTGCAGGTGAAGCCAGAGCCATGTTGGAAGCACCGCTAAGCAGAAACTTCTCCCATTGCACATTTGTGTTACGAGGGTTTCCCTCGCTGCAGAAACACCGCCGGCTGTTGGCGCTGCCATTTAGTGCCTCCTACCTGTTGGTGCTGCTCGGAAACTCGCTGCTGGTGTACGTCATCTGCAGCGTGGAGAGACTGCACAGCCCCATGTACCTCCTCATTTGCACGCTCTGCTTTGTTGACATCCTGGTTGTGACAACCATCATCCCCAACATGCTCCTTGGCTTTCTGTTCGACTGGAATGAGATTTCATTGGTGGGCTGCTTGACTCAAATGTTCTTCATTCATTTCCTGTCCTCAGTGGAGTCAACCCTGTTGTTGGCAATGGCACTGGACCGCTACTTCGCCATCTGCCGGCCACTGCGCTACAATGACATAATTAACTCCTCCATGCTGGTGAGGCTAGTGCTCTTCACGCTGGTGCGCAGCGTCTCCGTCATGGCGACGCTCGTAGGTTTGGCAGGTTCTCTGCAGTTCTGTGGTTCCAACGTAATCCAGCACTGCTACTGCGACCACATGGCGCTGGTCAGCCTGGCGTGTGACAGCACAAGCCGGAGCAGTGCAGCTGGCCTTGCTGTCATCATCTGCTTTGTAGGAGCTGACATACCAATTATTTTCTTTTCCTATATGAAGATACTGAGCGTGGTCTTGCGATCGGCAGCAGCCGGTGAAGACAGCAGGAAAGCTTTTCACACCTGCAGCACTCACCTCATTGTTATGATGTGTTTTTACCTGGTGGGCAGCATCACCTTCCTCTCTCACAACCTGAACATCCCCATACCAACAGATATCAACAATTCCATGGGCCTCATGTACATCCTTTTCCCAGCAACAATCAACCCTATCATCTACGGAGTACGAACCAAAGAAATCCGTGACAGCTTTCTGAGAATTTTCAAAAACAGAGCAAAGAAAATAATGACTGCGAAGGTTTCGTCTGCTGGAAAAGAAAAATCATGAAGCCCCTCTTCTGTGGGGTTTGGTTTATATGATCTTCATGAACCTCTTTTATGCAAACATACTTTTTTATACAACTAATGCCTGTAGTTTCAGACTCTGAAGTGGAAACAGGACCTTGGAACCATCCCAGAGTTTCAGATTATAGATGGCTGCTTTGAAACTGGGTTCTGCTCATATGCACCAAATTTTTGCTTTTGGGCGTTCTTGGGTGCTGGAAAATATCCCGTCTGGGAACTCTGTTGTCCAGTTGGGGTACCTCATTTTTTAATGTTGGCAATAACAGAGAAACTTGTTGATGGGGAGGAAGGGCTTGCTGGAGGCCAAGTGTTGTTCTGTTACTGGACTTCTGTGCTGTTGGTCTATAATGAACATTGGTTGATTTTGTCATTTTTTACTACATGCAATGGCCAACTCACCTGTCTCTGACCTGGACTAGGTGTATTAAGGAGGATGCCAGACAGCCATGAAAAATGAAAGTGTGCTGGGAGGATCTGGGACGGGCCTTGGAGTGGAGATCTTCACCTCCTGCAAAACTTTTGCAGCATTATTCTGATTGGGGCCAGGGACACCGAGTCTGAATGGACCATATTCAACACCACCACTGCTGATGTGACTGAATGAGGCTATGGCTGTAAGGTGTTTAGGGCACGTCATGGCAGAGCCCCACCAGTAAACACTGGAGGTAAAGGGAAATGTGATGGTGAAGGAGTAGACCTATCAGGGATAAAGGGCTTATGGGACAGTTGGCATGTTTAGGCAGAGTACGACCATGACATGAAAAAAGAGTGGGAGTTTTTCAGGGAGTGAGGTATTTGCTGCTGCTGCTCTTGTGACCTAAGCACAGATATGCAGCAGAAAAATCAAACTGTGACTGCAAGGTATACATGAGTCTGAAAACCTCCTGCAAGACGTGTTATCTGAAGTCTAACTGTTAATGAATGCTCAGGGATTCAGACATGCTGTCGAAAGCATTTGCTGTTTGGTGAATCACTATAAAGCTTCTTTAAAAGGCATCTCTACAATTAATACATTCATTCATTTCCTTAAATGGAACACCCGGCATTAGGCATTAGCACAAGTACCGTATTTTTCACACTATAAGGCGCTCTTAGAATTATTTAATTTTCTCAAAAATTGACAGTGCGCCTTATGTATGAATTCTGGTTGTGCTTACTGACCTCGAACTGATTTTTTGTGGTACACGGCGCTCAAAACTATGTCAAAAATGTTTCAGTACAACTTTGGTAAGCTACGAAGCCGCACCGCTTGATGGATTGTCGGAGCATTATGGCTACTGTAGTCAGGAGCCTCGTGGAGTGATCTGGGTCCTAAACTCCGTCCTTCAGGTCCCAAAGTCAAACGAACACTGCAGCATCACTGAGAGTTAAAAAACTGTCTAAATTCTTTCATCTTTAATAAAAGTGTAACAGGTGTAGCAATTAAGTTTAACATCCAGGCATCCATGAAAACAGAATTTATTCAATTTAAAGAAGTTAGAAGTTAGCAGGAAGTTAGCTCGCTAGTTTCCACCTAAATATGATATAGCATGTTCTGACTGAGAGATTTCTGAAAAATTTCAAACATACAGCTCTGCTATCACTTCCAACATAAATGAAGACAGGAAACTAAACAGCAGTGACGTTTGTAGGGTTACTAAAGTTGGGCTAGCTGGTATATAATGATGTGCTACGTGATCGCTAGCTACACAGCTATGTTAGCATAACAAACACAGTGAAGCTGGAGGATGAACGCTGACTCTTTTCCACTCGATAAAAGTTAACGTGAGGGTTTCCGATGGTTAGGGACAAATGCAATCGCATGGCAGGATGCTGTAAACGGACCAAACTTCAGTCAGGAGAACAACTGAGATAATCCATCCACAATATGAGGTTAGTCACTAATATACTGCAACAACATGGGAATAGAGCAGCTGCAGAGAATTCAGCATTAATGAATCAATGGTACAGAAGTGGAGGAAGCAAGAAGAATGAGTTGAGTAAAGTTTGACTTATTTGACTGTTTTGTTTCGCTTAATGCGCCTTATAATCTGAAAAATATGCTAGTCTTTATCTGCCTTCAGCTCACCCTTTTCCCAGCATCCTCCTCTGTTGCACCAACCTTCTGCATGTCCTCCTCCACTACATCCATGAACCTCCTCTGAGCACCTCGTCGGTTGAAAAGTTCGTTTTTGTTTAGTTTCATGAATCCAGACAAATGGGGACACAAACGTCCTTTTATTTAAGATCCAGTGAAATATACAAGTTTTCCTCGCGCCCCGCCAAAATGAACAGTCAGACACAGCTGATGTTTTCTGTTTTTTCTTAAACTGTACGTTACAATGCAAAAACTGGTTTCAGTCTGACTTTAAAGTAAGCAGAAACACATCTTACCCCTCATACAGGATGTTTGAGACTCTTTAACTTTGAATCTTTTCAAAATAAAGGTTTGCACAATTTCTTTACCTGCTCAAGTCACCTGATACGACATATGGATGGATGACATCCCTGCCAATTCTCTTACAAATCATTGATGAATTTCCATGTGGATTCTCTTTCTTCAGCACAGCCACTAGTTTTACTTTGTTTCTGTAAAATCAGCCGGCACGTAGGGATTGCCCATTAGAGCGCTAATCTTCAGCGGTCTAAGGAGCCAGTCCCACAGGCCGAGAGACCGGACAACGACCCACTGGCAACCTCTGGTCATTGTTCACCAGCCAGCTGTGAGTGGTTAATGTAAAAGAAGGCCGCTACGCCACAAACCTCTCTGTGACTGCCTCCATCACCTGTAGTTTGCATATAAGACGTTGAGTCATCTGCAGACCAGTAAAAGTTGCATCTTCCATGCAAACTTCAGGCAACTGAGGCAGTCTGCCACAGGCCAGAACAACCACAGGAGGCTTTTGTTGCAGCACCATATTTCACCGAGCAACTGCCACAACCACTCGCCACCCAGTCACCAGCAGTGAGTGTTTGCTAGGAGGCCTGTGTGATGACCTCTGACCGCAACACTGTTCTATCAGATTTTATATAGTGAATAAAATAATATTTTCAATTTTGCTTGCTGTCTCTGAGTTTCAGTTCAGTTTCAATAAAAGATCTTTCGGTTTATTTTCAGTTTTAAACTTTATTACATTTAAGGTAAATGAAGATTTACTGGGTGACAAAATGTTTCGGATATTTCAGTAGAAATTTAACATTATTAGCTTCAGAATTAGCCTGTCACACTAAAGTGACTCATAATTATCAGAATGTTGTTTGAGGAAACAAAATATAAATCTCTCCAGTCTTAAAAGCATTCACAACGATCAGGCCACAGTTCGAACAGTTGCTCTTTAAATTTCTGCCAGATGTCTGATTGTTTCAGTTAAACAGAGGTAAAGGATGTAAAGGATGCCAATTATATTTGTCTGACACATGTATCATATCAAAGCGCAGCGTTTACTTTAAGGCAACATGAAGCCGTGCTGATTTTAACAGAAACGAAGCGAATGGACGACCAGCGACTACCTGCAAGGAAGAAAATCGTTCTGATGATGATTCGGAAAATTATCCGCATGAACACATGAAACTGTATGCTATTTAAAATCAGTTTGATTATTCGTGACATTAATAAATCATAGGAAGTATTTATTCATGCAAACTAGGCCACCGGTTGCTGTTAAATGGTCGGTGGCTCACTCTGACAGTTTGAGGTCCTCTTGTCGGGCGGCCCAGCAGATCACTTCGGTGCCGTTTCCCATCTGCTCTGCAGCTTCAGCAACACCGACTACAGATGGTTACTCAGCAAAATCCTCCATCGGCTGAAGTTTGTCTCCAGTGGCAGAGGGTTCAAGATCAACCGAGGCTGGCAGTGTTGTTTCTAAAGACTTTAAACTAATCTCAACACAACTTTACATCTGTTTGGTCCCTAATGGAAACACTTAGAACAAAGAGACATTAGAGGCATGCTACCAGCTGTCGTTAGGAGCTGCCGGGTCGGCGCTCCAGGCGACTCCGTCGGAGCAAAGAGCCGCTCCGATGTCTAGGCTGCAGTATTCTAGTTTTTTTTTTTAAACACCTCACCGGGACTCAGAGAGGACAGACATGAACGAGCACACAAACACGGCACCACCGAGTGTTTAAAGGGTGTCCAGACTGTGGTTTGACCTAAAGGTGAACTCCATTAGCTCCACACTACATACAGCAGCAAAACAACAGCCGCAGTGTCTCCTCCCCTCTATCTGTCGTCCAGTTTGGGCGAGTCCACCGGCTCCTCGTCTTCATCCTTGTCGTCTTTTGCTCCGATCAGTCGCTGGCGGGCAAAGTCTTCAAAGATGATGTCATCGTCGCTGAGGGAGGGAGAGGTTATGGAAGTTAAATCAGAGACGCTAACTTGGTCATATGATTTTTGGTTTGAAATGAGTAATATGGCACTTATTAAATGTTTATTGTTGCGTATCCGTGGTTACCAGCGTTGGGAGCGTTATTTTTCTGTAACACGTCGCCGCACTAACATCTTAGTTACAATTAGTCGATATTTTACTGGTTAGCAACAAAAAGCTTTTTTGTGAATTCAACTTTCGTTTATGGACGTAATCGCGCCGAGGCTCGTTTACAACGCATTTTAATCAGCTGATATGCGACGGTGCCTGGGACGGCTTTGTGTTCAGGCTGGTGAGCGAAGAAACATGTCCGAGCCTCCAAATTTCATAAACATTTGTGAATATAATGAACATGTAATGAAATAAAAAGTGAAAATAAAAAAGGCCAAACATATAAAAACAGTCCTGTGAATTTTTTTCAAACTATATTTACATTTTTTTATTTTCAAACTTGGTCTTTCGAACCACTTTTATATGACAGGGCCACATGAAACAAGACTAAAGTGGAAATGAAGGTTTTCTTCTGCTCTGACAGCGAAACAAGTGGATAAATCCTCCGTCCTCTTTACTGTGACCATCGATATCCTCACATCTGTCCATTTCATTTTGTACCAACGCGCCCATCTCCCCAGTGTCTTCATCGCCACACTGTGTTTACTTGCTGAGAGAGCAGAGGGGACAGCAGCCGCGCCACTTTTAAAACAACAACTTTAACAACTTTTTAAAGAAAGCTAACGGGCCATGACCCCGCCCTGCCATTTAGTAATGAGATTAATAATTACAGACGAAGCTGAAGACGAGCTGGAGACGGCTGAAAGAGTGTTTCACTGCTTTTACTTCTTCTTCCCCCTGTACAGACGTCTGAGGTAACAAAGACAGGAAGTGGAAATATTCGTTGGGCTGCACGGAAAGAGGAAATAAAAACACACAAACGAGGAAGTGGCCTCGCTGTTCTGTATTTCATCTTTGCAGCTGGAGTCATTTCCTTTGTTGTTGCGTACGCATGAAATGATAATGAGTAAATTGCAGCGTCGGTTCACAGCGCTCGCGTTTGGCTGTGCTGGCAGCAGAACGAGTTTCCAGTTTAAAGCCCATTTCCTGCAGCTCCCACAGCAGCAGGCATTAAGACGCATTAAGACTGAAACTCTGGAGTCGAGTCCATCACTGTTAATGCTGCAGCGGGCGCAGAGGAAACCTGTCTGCTGTCAGTGTTATTGATGAGCCCGTAAACCAGAGCAGAACCAATCAGAGTGAGGAGGAGAGGCAGCGGCGAGACGGGAAGACGGCTGCTTACTTTGTGTCAAACTCGATGAGGTTCGCGTCGACTGGAGCCTCGTCTGCAGCTGTGGAGGAGCGAGAGATCACAGTTACACACCTGTGCCGAGAGGAAAACTCTTGGTGCTCGTCTCTGTCAGAGCCAATTCAATCTTCTCACACCCACTCGTTTAAAATCCCCACACACCCTCAGTCTGAGCCTGGCTCCGGTCGTGACGCTCTGACCTGTCAGACAGCCCCGTGGAGCGCCGTCTTTGCGTCTGGAGCTCAGGTTTACTGAGCGAGACCTGATGACTCCGAGCAGCTCAGCTCTGGGTCTGTTCTCCACAACCGCCGCAAACAAGGAGGAAGAACTGCAGCAGGGCCGCAAGCACGGATTTACGTGGGTCTCTAACCGATTGGCGGAGCGGGAAGACCGAGGCTGTGGGCAGGGGAGGAGCCAAATCCCAGTATCACACCAGTGCATTCAGTTACTAATAAAATATGCCTCTGAGGGACGCCGGCTTCACTTAGTGCATGAGTCACATGACACGCCGAACTTTGATGTGAGCGTGGACGGAGCCTGCAGCAGAGAGAGAGCCCTCCTCTTCCAGTTGGGTACACCTGTACAGGT